CTTTGATTTCCTTTTTTTTTTTTTTTTTTTTAAGGCTATTGACAGTATGAATGAGTGGATGAATGACTTTAATTAAGTGAAATAATAAGAATTATTGAAAGGCGTTCAATCGTTCTCTCTCATTTTCCTTGTAGAGATGTTTCTAACATTAGAGAGCACAGAAAATTGAACAATTGTTCTGCGGTGTCCATTCGGAAAAAAATCCCTACAATTCTACCCCACAAAAAAAAAAAAACAAGAAAAAAAAGAGGAGACAGACAGAACGATTTTCTAGTCGAAAAAGAGAACAATTATTGAACTGGGATTCGAATTGGACGGCATCGGTGCTTCCGTTGGAAAAAGTGCTTCAGTTGCTTTCAACGTTTTTTGTCTCTTTTTTTCTCGCCCGTCTGTTTCATTATTGCAAATATAGTATTACTAGTAATATAACAAGTGTTTCTTGATTTGTAAACGTCTTCCTGTGGATGAACTGTTTTTTCTTTTTTTTTTTTTTTTTTTTTTTCCTGGTCCCTTTGGGATATAGCCGCTTGCTCCTTAACAGAAAATTAATAAGCCTGTCTGTCTGAATGAATGAATGACCGAATCAAGAGTTAATCAATCAACAATCAACTAGTGAATGCAGTGTGTACCCAATGAGCCAATCATTGCATCTGTTCACGCATAGTACCGTCTTCACCCGAATAGAACGCCCGAAAATTATCGCCGTATCTGGACTGAAAGTTGCACCAAATACAGCCATAATGACCGGGCGTTCTATTCGGGTGAAGACGGTAGTCAGTCCTGAGAAGGTGCGGACAAGCTCGTTATCCGTCTCCTCTTCTCCGTTTCTCCCCTGTTCTACCATCTGTCACTGTTCTCTCCCTTCTCCTTCCCTCCTCCCTCCCTCTTCCCTCCCTTCTCCCTCCCTCTTCCCTCCCTTCTCCGTCTTCCTTTCCTCTCCCTCCTTCCCTCCCTTCGCCCCTCTTCCCTCCTTTTTCCCTCTTCCCCCCCTCGCCCTCCTCCCTCTCTTCTCTTTCTCACTTCCTCCCTTCACTCTCCTTCATCCCCTCTTCTTCTCCCTCCTCCCTCTTCTCCCTCTTCCCCCTTCCCTCTCTTCTCCCTCTTCCCTCTCTTCTCCCTCTTCCCACTTCCCTCCTCTCTACCCTCTTCCCTCTCTCCCTCGTCCCTCCTTTCTCCCTCTTCCCTCCCGTCTCCCTCTTTCTTCCCTTCTCCCTCTTCCCTCCCTCTTCCCTCCCTTCTCCCACTTCCCTCCTCCCTTCTCCCTCTTCCCTCCCTTCTCCCTCTTCCCTCCCTTCTTCCTCTTCCCTCCCCTCTTTAACTTCCCTCTCCTTACCTTCTCCTTCTTCCCTCCCTTCTCTCTTTCTTCCCTCCCTTCTCCCTTCGTTCAGCAGCCTGCCCTCCCTCTCTGCGTGCTTTTTCTTTCTTTCATTTTGCTAGTATTTCACTCGTCTGTTTGCATCTGGATTTGAACTCAGGTCTGTATTTCAACAGTTCAGTCCAGGGGGGGTGTACCAACTGAGCTACGCTACCGCTCGTCCTTCCCTTCATGTCGGTCCCTCTCTCTTTTGTCCTACGGGGACAACACTGTCGAAATTTTTGTTCATCGTCTCTCCTCTTTTCTCTTTTGCAAATTTTGAAACTTAGATTATATGTCCTTCCAAAAAAAAAAAAAATAAAAAAAATATATATATATGTCCTTGCGGGACATCCCTTAAAATTTTTGGAATGATACAGCGAAGATTATTAGCATGGCCCCTGCGCAGGGATCATAAAAAAAAAAAAAAAAAAAAAAAAACTTCGATTATTTGTCGTCTGCTAGCACATCTTCGAAAACGAAATGGTGCAGAATGGATATTGTACCCTTTTTTTTAAAGTTTAATTGATAATAATAATGTGCGTTTTAGTAGAAGAAATTGAAAGACTGCGGCAGGGGCAATTCTGCAATTCGACGATTAGGGGCAATTCTGCAATTCGACAATTCGCAGCTCATTCATGCCTTGCAATGGCGGAAGGGGCACAGAATCAAGTCCCTCAGTTAGGAGCGAAGCAAAAAAAAATAAAATAATAATAATAATAAAAAAGTTAAAAAAAAAGTTCTCTCGGTTAGGCGCGAAGCGCTGGGGAACGTAGTTGCCGAAGAAGGATCGGGTCACGCGATGAGAGTCTTTCTTTCTCCCCCGAGCCCCTTTTTTTTTTTTCTTCATTAATGTTTTTTTTTCATTAATGTTTTTTTTTTTTCGTTTTTTTTTTTTTTTTCATTAATGTTTCTATCTCCGCCGAGGAGGAGAGGAGCTATCCCTCAAGGAGCTTCTGCAATTAAAAAGGTAGTCAAGGCATGCGGCCAAAATAAGTATCTTCACCCGAATACAACGAATGGGGTCATTATTGCTGTATCTAAGTTGCCCCAAGTAAAGAAAAAATAAATAAAATGAAAAAAAAAAAAAAGAAAAAAAAAAAGAAAAAAAAGTTGCCCCAAATACATTCAGGTACGGGTATAATGACCGTACACGTATTCTGGTGAAGACGTTAGAATCTCAGTATATAAGGAGAAGGTAACAATCAAAGAAGCGGATCTTTGCGACTGCTGGCGTCTGGGAATGTACCTGGCCAAGGTGCATGCTCAGGTACGGAGCATGCATATGATTTTGCATGCACTGCGGCAGGGGCAATTCCGCAATTTGACAATTCTGGGTCGTCGTCACGGAATGTCTTTGTGGAATGCCCAGCCAAAATGAACGGCGGACAAACGACGTCGCAGGGGTAATTCTGCAATTTGGCGGTTCTGAGTCTTTCCACCTTGGCTGGCTCTGACCCAGCAGTCGCGTGCCACGTGGCATGCCATCCGACGTGAGATGAGCTACCACCATAAAGGGGGAGAGAGGAGTTTTTTTTTTTTTCGTCTTCTTCTTCTTTTTCCCTTTCTTTTCTTTTCCTTTCTTCTTTTCTTTTCTTTTCTTTTCCTTCTTTTCCTTCCTTTTCTGGTTTTTTTTTTTCCATTTTTTTTCCCCCTTCCTTCCTTCCTCCCTTTTTTTTTCTTCTTGAATTCTTTTTCTTCCTTGCTTCCTCTTCAGAATGGAGACGTATCGGCATAGGACCAAAAAAAGAAGGCATAGGACCCAAAAAACGAAGGCAGAGGATCCAAAAAAAGGGGTACCACTGCCAATTGGGGAGGAAAAGGGGGGGGTCAATTCGCCAGAATTGCTTTGGCTTTTGCTTTTCCTTGGTTTCCCGAGCGGTCACGTCTGTGCTCCTTGTTGTGCGAGTGACGTAAAGGGCCAACAGCCACAGATGCCACCGTCGTCTCGCGGCGGACACCTCCTCCCTTTTCGCGAGGAGTGTGGCATCTCCCAATTTTCATTCCTCCTTTTTGCAACGACCACCTTCTCCCTCCCTCTTTCGATCGCTTCCGTCTTTCTACCTGCCGCTGTGGAGACGAATCACAAGGCTTCGGGACAAAGCGTTGTGTTGAGAGAGAGAGAGAGAGAGAGAGAGAGAGAGAGAGAGAGAGAGAGATGGTGTGTGGAGGGCATGTGCGCGTCCACGTGTATGTGTGTGTGTGTGTGTGTGAGAAAAAAAGGGAGAGAGAGAGTTTAGTCCAAGGGCGTACTCAAGCTTGGATGTTGTGGAGTGCATGCGACCGTAGTGGTGGTCAAGTGCGTCCAGGTTCGTAGTCTGACTATGGTCTTGGCAATGTTTGTGTGGATGGGTGGGTGCTTGCGTGTGTGTGTGTGAGGAACGTGGTCGTTATGGCATGTTGCGGAAAAGACGGCTGTTAGCCGGAGGGGGGAGGAGCGAGGAGGAACTGGCACGCGATATACTCAATGAGGGGAAGAAGGGGGGGAAAAGGAGGGGGAGAAGGGGAGGGGAAGGGGGGGATACTAAAGAGAGAACAATACAGATGACGTAGCAGGAAGAAAGGAAGACAGACGGAGAGAGGGAAAATGGAGAGAGGGAAAACGGAGGGAGGGCAGGGGCAGTGCCAAATGAAAACGGGCAGGTAGGGAGGCGATTTTGGCTCATGCAGGGGGATTAAGAAACAGCTAAGTTTTTAGCACACGTGCGATGAGAGGTCTCCCTCCTCTCAACAATGGGAGGGAAAAAAAACAAACAAACAAAAAAAAAGGACGACGAAAAGTTGAATGTGCGTTGGAGTAGATTTTAATTGCTCGTCAACAATTTTTGAGCCCCCCTCTGTTCAGTTTGATTGCTGCTCCTTGTTCTCTCGATTTCTGAATTCTGAGGTTGACGCTCTTACCCCCATTTATCTCTGAGGGGTTCAGATAGCATTTGGTCCAAGATGACCCACAAACAGACGAAGGGAGAGACCATTTTGTAGCTTGAAGAGGAAATGGTTGGTTCCTCTTGCTGATGGGTGCTCATCAT